GGAAACGCAGGATCACAGTGCATTCACTGTGCGTGATCGCGGTTTAGTCGGCGGTAGAGAACGCACGATGGCGGGAGGGTCGCCATGACGATACAAACGAAGTATTAGCGATGGATGGATGCGGTTGAACCCTTTGAATCGGGCGGCGACTTGCGCCACCTAGCCAATGTTTCTTTTTTTTCTATCTCTCTCTCTCTTTCTGTCGGTTGATGGATGGATGGATGGATGGATGGATGAATACGGCTGAGCCCTTTGGATCGGGCGGTAGCTTACGCCACCTAGCCATTTTGTTTTACCATTTAAGCTTAGAATATTTAAATATGAAATCTATATTCACTCCGCAGTGCAAAGAAAGTGAGGCTATGAAACCCCCTTGCCATCAGTGAATAAGAAAATACCTAGTTTTCTCTCGATTTCTGCCACCATTCACTTAATCTTTGCTTGGTAATCTCTACAGTCTTGAAATCCACTCTCCCTTCGCTGTCTCTAAAACCCAATGACTTTATTAAATCTATGTTGTCTTCGGTAGGCATAGGGTGAAGCCCTTTACAGTAGAGTATCAAGTGCTCAGCCGTCTCGTCCTCCTTTCCACAAGCAGTGCACACTGTATCAATTTCCTGGTACTTCACTCTGTATGTTCTGGTTCGCAGAACACCCGTCCTCGCCTCAAACAGCAATGAGCTTCCCCTAGAATTGTCATAAATGCTTTCTTTGGCAATAACTCTTTTGTTTAATCCATAGCTTTCCAGAGCCGTCTTTGTCTGCATTCCCTCTAGCCACCGATCTTTTTCTGTGGCCTTAACTTTCTTCTTAACTGAGACTTGCTCTTCCGTATCTTCGCTATAGCCCAAAAACTTTCCTCTTAATTTCCTAGTGCGTTGTCTCCACTTTGTGTCTACACTCCTCATGTATAAATAGCTGAAAACCTTTCGTGCCCATTGCTCCCCATCCATTTGCCTCAACCTATCCTCAAATTCTATCTTGCTCACCGCTTCCCTGCTCTCAAATGATGCCCATCCCATGTCTCCTTGTACTCCCTGGTCTGGCGTTTTGCAATGTGCCCCCAAAGCCAGTCTACCTACTCCACGCTGTTTTATTTCTAGTCTCGCATGCACTTCGGATTTCATGCATAGCACTGCGTTTCCAAAAGTCAAGCCAGGCACCATGAAATCGGCGGCACCTAGCGGCTAGAACAGAAAGCTGTGGCGGCAGGTTCGCTCTCCAGCCTTCTCGAGCGAATCAGATAGTCACCGTACCTGGTGGTAACAACACGAAGCCGGGAACGTATATGTTTCAAAACGCGCGATGAAAATCACCTATAGCTGTTGTTTTGTCTCTCTATACCCTCCATCTCCCCTCCAATCAAAGCGAACGAGATCATAGTTTGCTCCTTTCACAGAACCTGGGGCGTTCGACGTTCGAACGCTAAACTGTGCACGGGCTTCAAACGCGATGCTCTTGTTCGTTCGGATTGGGGGGAGATGGCATAGACAACGCAGTCAGCCTTTGCGTCTGCCAAACATATCCTTCCAATCGGAGCTCTGTGTTCTGACAACACCGCACGCTCTCTTCTCATCTACCAATTTCTTACCGAATATCACATGGATGGCGCGTCGAAATGTCGTGAGCGCGGGTTTGAATGTTGTTAAATCTTCATTAATTTTTTTTTCTTCTACGGATATATAATACATGTCGGCGACTTGAGGAAATTTTGTGGTCGATGACACACACCTCTGGTAGGGTGGTGACAATTCTAATAGTTTAACGCCCGGTTGCTTTTTTATGTTTTGGGAAAGATATATATATATATATATATGCGCTTCTGGCACGAGAGCGCGACTTTCAACTTCACTTTTTAATGTATTAATTCACTCCAGTGGAAACACATTTGTTCGTTATGATTTTCTTTTTTTTTTTAATTCGGTATTTTTTTATAGAGTAATCAAAGAATTGAATGTTCTACCCGATATTGCTGATGCACCTACAAATGACTGAGTTAATCTCTTGAAGTGCGTTGAAAACATATTTTGAGACGTCCACTTACTATTGCAACGTTGCAGTGAATATCTTAATATTTATTTTTGGCGAATATTTTGTTACGCGTTTTTAACGCGGAATGTGGCGATGTGCTGAATTTCGTGCGAAAACGGTAACGCTCGAGCGTGAAAAACGTTAGCCGCTCGCTAAAGCGGCACAAATCATGCACGGCAGGCAATGCATATAAGAGTCCAAAGCATGCAGAGGACACCTTAGTCGTGATAATGCACATACCTATAACTAGGAAGAGTCGAGCACAACGAGCAAGATTCACCCGAAGGCTCAGCGGGAACCGGACCCCGGAGCATTCCGTCCGCAGTCTGGCGTCTCTGCTCGGCGCCACGATGAGAACGTAATAAAGATATCACAAGGAGCTGCAGAGTAAGCACGACTCGCCGACGACAGTCGCCTGCAATGTGACGCGTCTGTCCGCTGTGAGGGATACTTAGTCTAGCATACCTAGCACGCGGGCAGACTTTGGCGGTAATGAATACTTAGTCCAGCATACTCAGTCCGCAGGCGATCGTCGGCGGCAAGTCATAACTATAGTTCAGCACACTTAATCCGAAGGCGACCCGTCGGCGCACGTAGCTTTCTCCCGAATGACGAAGCCTAGCTCCCCGAATGAACTCGATACTTATAGGGATGGTTCACAACGCATACCAGGGAATAGAGCAGCGGGCGTACCACGTCACAACTTCAGGCAGCAGTCCATATATAGATTGCGTGAAGGACACAATAACCTTCCTTCTTTGTCAATTACTAAGTGGGCCTTCTTTACTAAGTGGGTCCTCGCCACTCAAGAGGACGAAGAATTCAAGGCCCTGGGCGCATTCACAAAAGAAGTGCGACCAACGGAAAACTCAGCATCAAAGCATGCTCGTGAAACACTCCACTCCTGAATAAATTTCAACTTGTATTTGGTCATTCTGATAATCCCGAAGAACTCATGAGAGTGCCGTGTGCTCATAGAAACTCAAGAGTGTGTGCTGATAAATCATAACACACATATAACACGTTATTTGCTTAACAGAATAATCGAGGCAAATACATTTTTCTACATATTTTTTTTTGGCCAGGTGTTTGTTTGTGGTATGGTGCTCGTAGCTTCTTGATTGTTTGTGTTAACATGTCTGTCTTTTAAATTAATATTTTACTATTCATCTATACCTAAGGATTTCCACCCGGTAATTTCTCTCATGCGCTATCTATATGAATAAATAAAGTGAGTGAAATGATAAAGGAAGAAAGGAAAAATAAAGGAGGACTTCGCTTGACTAAACTTTCCCTGCCCATCTGCATCAAATGGGCTTTAAAAAGTCAAGACAAATTTGAGCATACCGGAGACAAGAACATGAGAACACTTTCACAACAAAGTCCCACAAAATCATTTATATTTACTTTAAGATGGTCTGATGTAAAGTAGAGATACTTCTCTGCATGCTCTTGAGAAACATCTGAAAGAGGAAAAACGGCATTGACGTCTTGTTACTATAAACTCAATGCATAGAGATATATGTGTTTCCATCGGCACGCGCGGTGGCTTTTGAAACAACAGAGCACGTCTTCATCAGAAAATGCAATACCTACATTAAATACATTAAGAGGCATAATATTAAAAAATAAAAAATAATCAGCAATTTTATTTTCATTTATTTTTTTGTATTTCTTTTCATTCCGCCATTACGCTACTTTGCACATCTGTGGATGCCGATATCACGGGCGCAGAAACATTTAAAGAAGAATTTCAATAGACAAAAGAAAATAAACAGAAAAAAACATTCGTTCGGTCCTATAGGGTGCTTATAGCGGGTGACATTACAGGTGTGCCATTCTCAGCTCTGAAATTGTATTAAACTAACAGTCTATAAAACAGTATAGTAGGTTTAGAATTAAAATACAGTCTACGCTGTGGCACTGAGCATGATGTTTTTCACTTGCTTTTTGCCGCAGCACCAACGTTCCTTTGTTTGTTATATATACATATATATATATATATATATATATATATATATATATATATATATATATATATATATATATATATATATATATCGCCATTCGCCGCCCTACGTCCACAGATGGCAGCACTCTGCTCCCCCATGTGTTTTGCAGGAGGGTAATCGCTCCACATTTCTTATAGTGTACAGTTGAGACGTCAGTCACACGAAAAGAGAAACGCGCGTGCGCGTTGGAATTAGAAAAAAAAAAAAAAGGGCGGGACGGAAGCTAGAGTCACCGTTACTACGCCACTTCTTCCAGGACCGTTCGTCGGGCACGGCTGCCTCCCGCTTGCTTACGAGTACCCCTCGCCCCTTGTCCGCGCGGTCAGGCGTGCAGAGAAGCGGTGGAGCGAGGCCCCTCAAGGTCACGCGTCCAAGGAGCAGCGCATCGGCCCCGCTTTGGAAAGGACTACAATGCTCGTTCCGGGCTGTGCCAGCTCGAGGTATCAAAGAGCGACCCGGACGACGCATAAAGCAAGACCGCCGCGGCGCACATGAGCTCCGCATCAGTTTGACTAGGAAGGTGCGACGCGCGGGGAGTGACGAACGATGCAGTGTGCATGCAACTGGGAAGACATACTGACGCGAGGCTAACGGCCGCCAGCAGCTGCCGTCAGTCTGCTCGGACGCCGAGTCCAAGAGTCCGAGAGTCCTCGCCGAAGAGGATCGCATGTGCGACCGGTCCATCCCTCCGCGAGCGCCCCAAGTCAGCGCGGCTGGGCTCAGGTAGCCGGCGGGCCCGCCATCGGGAGAGGGGCACGCGGCCAGCGCAAGTCGCCCCAGGGTTTCCGGGACGACGAGGAGGTCCGCTGTGACGCAGCCTCCGAAACGTCCTCGCGCTGACGTCAGCGGCGACCTCGTGGCTATTGGCTGGTCGGCCGGCCGGCTCCTAGAAAAGCGGCGAGCGGAGAGGCAGCGGGAAAACGGAGCGCTTCGAGTCCGGCGTGTGCAGTGCGCATCGTGCGAAGCATGGGAGTACCCGTCGTAGACCAGCTGGCCTGGGCCTACCAGAGCATCTTGGCCAACACCGACCCCCGGGTGGCCAAGTGGCCGCTCATGGGCAGCCCGCTGCCCGTGCTCTCACTGATCGCGGGATACGTGTACTTCGTCAAGATATGGGGCCCCGGATGGATGCGCGACCGAAAGCCCTTCCAGCTGCGCCTGCCTATCCTGGCTTACAATGTGGGCATGGTGGCCGCCAACGGCTTCTTCTTCATCTACGGCGGCCGGAGAACGTACCTGGGCGGAGGATACTCGTGGTTCTGCCAGTCCGTGGACTACTCCTCCAAGCCGGAACCCATGCTCATCATCACCCTCGGTTGGTGGTACATGATGCTCAAGCTGGCTGAGCTCATGGACACTGTCTTCTTTGTGCTCACCAAGAAGAACAGTCATATCTCCGCTCTGCACGTCATCCATCACTCCCTCGTGGCCTGGTCCGTCTGGATGGGCGTTAACTTCGGCGCCACGGGCCAGAACGCTTTCTTCCCCTTCGTCAACTGCTTCATCCACTGCGTCATGTACACGTACTACGCGCTTGCTGCCCTCGGCCCGCGGCTCAGGCCGTACCTCTGGTGGAAGCGGTACCTGACCCAGATGCAGATGAGCCAGTTCATCTCGCTCATCGTGCACGGCTCCATCCCGGTGTTCTACGACTGCGGGTTCCCGCCGTACTTCGGCTACCTGACCATCTTCGAGGCGAGCCTCTTCTTCGCACTCTTCTTCAACTTCTACGTCAAGACGTATCGTCGGCAAGAGGCGGAGCGCTCGCGCTGATCATCTCCCCGTCACGGCTGTGTAAATAGTTCCCCTGTACATAGACGCCTCAAATAAAGCAAGGTCTTTTGGCCTCACTCTCAAGCCTGTCGTCGTGTTGCGTAACCGGAAGCGGAAGTGACCGCCCGTCGCTTCACCGCTCCGACGTTTTTATTTTTTTTTTCCTCCTTAATTCCGGGCGTTAGCTATCGGGGTCGTATAGCTATAGTTCAGCCGTGCGCAAAGATCGGACGATCTCTGCGGTCCACCACTCGCGCAGAGTACATAACGCGGTCGGACTCCGATCCTTCTTGGTGTGTTGTTTCGGAACACACAGGACCGCCATGACGGTGTACCTCGAGCGAGGAGTCGGGACGTTCCGTAAAACTTTATAAAAAAAAAAAAAAAAAAAAAGTAAAAGCGTTCCTTCGTGGCGTACAGATGAAACCCTATGTGCTTGTCGCCTTTAATGCTCTCAGTGTTGCTCACTGCATTGTGAATTTCCATCTCAACATTTCGGATGTTGCTCGCGTGCACGGCATTCTAACGCGTTGAAAAACATGAAAATCTAGCGAAACGACTAAAACTACCAGTAGTCGCTAACAGATTCTCGACCACATAAACGTGCTTAATGAGACCGCGCGTATTTGGCCTCATACTCTGCATGCCAGCTTTCTTATCAGATTAATTGTTCCACGTCCTTACCGAAAAGCCATTGAGAACATTATGATCAGGGCTGCGAGGCGTTTGTTCGTTTCGCATGCTAGTGACCTCAGCCTGTCGACGTTCGAGATCGAAATGTGTTTCTAAGAAGGAAAATAAGAAAGCTGCTCTGAGCCCGTCCCCGGGCACTCCAGCGCAGATGCCATGCGGATAGACATTTCGTGAGCCCTAGGGCCTAAGCTGTTCGGGGTCACGTCTAACTGACTTCTCAAGGTCCGTTCACGCCCTTGCAGGCACCCTTCGCGCCAAACGCGCGGGAGATAGTGAGAGAAGGAGAGAGAAAAACAAAGGCCTCTACCACAAACAGCTTCTGCGTCTTTCGCTCCCGCGACTCCCGACAGCCACAGGTGGCAAAAGAGCGAGCTGCGAAGGGGGAGAACGCTAGCATACAGAGAGCCAGGCGAAGCGATCGCAACCGACTAGAAACGTCTATCGCCGAGCCGAAACTCTTCAAGGCCGCCAATGTTCTGAATAAAGACGCACGCACCGTGAACTCTCAGGGGCAAGTGCAGCGGGCCGAATTCCTCGGGCCGCGTCGTCGCTCTTCTTCTTTTCTTATTTTTCTTCTTTTTTTTGTTGTTTTTGTTTTGCTGCACGGTCGTTCCACTGCGCCAAGTCTGGTTCAGTGGAAAGGAGCGTCGGCTCTCGGCAGCGAGCGTACGCGCGCCCGCGCGAGCGCCCCTGTAACTTTTTGGGCGCGGAATGGGGCTAAGCGTTCAGTCGTGCGAAACCTTCAAAACAAACCACCAACAACGCGAAAAAAAAAAAAGAAGTCTAAGAGGCGCATCGCGCGGCTTTCAGGTTGCTCGACTGCTTCGTCCGGTCGCGGCTGCAAATGCTGGCCTCCATCTCTCTCGAGGATGGAGGTGACGTCATCGGGTGCCTCTGGTCGTCACCATGACCACGGGGATTGTCTCGCTGGCCAGGCTGGCCGGGAGCCCAGAGATTCAAGAGGCGATCGCGCCTCTGCCCGCGGCGTACGCGCTTGTTTGGAATCCGAAAAGCTTCTGGACGATTCTGTCGCCCGGCGACGACGTGTTGCGCAGGCCGGGCACGCTTGCTCTCGCATAACTTCTAAATCGCCTTTTGATAGGAAAACAAAACCCGCGGAAGAAGTGTTCCGCCAAAAGCTAATATATTTAATTCATGAAGCCTCGCACCGACACCGTAAAATGGTTTTGAGACAGCGCGATACATCGCGATGGCCCCAGAAACGCGGTTTGTTGCTTCGCGACCTAATGTTCGGAACTTTGAGATTGCGATATAGGGGACTTTTATCTTTTAGGAAAAATAGTTTGAGGACGCATTTTTCTCCAATCTATAAAGCTTGTACATGTCTGTTTTTGTCCCTCTGTTTGTTTTGTGCTTTCTTACTGTTACATCTGTCCCAACACGCTCGTCAAAGTCTTCTCTATAAATCACATTCTTTTTTTTTTTTCTTTCTTCTATTGCGGAACTGCCAAGTCACGATCTCAGCAAAACAAAATAAAGCTAAAGCTCTCGGCAATGCTTCTTTTTTTTTTTTTTTAATTGAGTTGGTGAGGGGAACGCACGAAAGAACACAAACACAAAATATCTCTGAGTTTCTTAAATCCCTCTGGTGTCTGCGTATATGTTCCATTTTGAGTTCTCTTGACACTCGGGTTCCATCAAAGCAAACACCTTGTGTCAAACAGGAGCTCCCATTCTACTGCCGACGTCAAGCTAAATAGCGCTAGTCTCTAACTTGATTTCTACCGGCAAATTCGTGTCCCGATAGGAACGTTATAGTGTACTAAGACATCAACCTCGTTATTACGAGGTTGATGTTGATTACGAGGTTGAGGTTGATTAGGAGGTTGATCACGATCGTTATCTTCCCATCGTATGTGCACGGGACCCGATAAATCCGCGGAGAGAATAGGAAACAGCCAAACACATCGCCCTAAGTATCGAGTAGCTGAGAGTATTAGAAGATCGTTCCTCTACCTCCGGTAACGGTTCCCGATGACGAAACGATGCATGTGCGCAAGTCGTCGGCGAGCTATCGGGTATCGTCGTCTGAGTCATCAGAACGATCGACTAAAACTCTCTACTGCCAGATTCCCGGTTCTCACGTCCGGTTCCTCAGTTGTACTGTGCAACTGATCTCGTCCATCGTCATTTTGAGAACTACTGTTTGACGTCTGTTCAAAGCATTTACGATTCGTGGGCCCTTCCTCGCAGAACGAAGAAGAAGCAGAGCGGGAGCCGTTTCGCCGGACGCTCCGAAATAAGCTATAGAGTCTCGGCTTTCCACTCCCCGACGTTCTGCTGGGAGCCGCCATTTTGGTGCTTGGTGCAGAGCGGGCGCCTAAGGCGATCATTATTTAAGCCACAGCCACACACTGCTCATACACCGTACAAAAGACACGGCGTTCACTGGCAGACATAGGTACGCTTTAAACATGTCTGCAGGCTGCTATATGGCTTGTTGCTATGGCAACAGCTGCATAGATGCTCTGCCTCCAGATCGAGCGTTTTTGGCTTTGATATCACCTCTGCGTTCGCGCAGCCAAAGTCCAGTGAAAGGTATCGAACGCGTGCTGGACGCATATGGCTTCTACGCAAGGAGCCCGAAATAATCACGGTCTTATCTCAGTGCGAAGCTTCGTGCGTGCTTTCACTGAGATAGCCTTGTTGTCAGCCTTCGAGAGCGTGCCCTGGGCAGGTTCGTTCAGGGTCTGGTTTCTTCTGTATTTAGCGTTGACTCATTGATACGCCCAAAAGCGGCTTCTCCTAAACGTTATGTGGGGTTTCAACGCTTGGCCGGTAGTAAAGTGTTCGGCCTACCTTTCCAAAGCGGTGCACTTCATCCGGTAAATACCACAAGGGTAAACTTTAAATATCTATCGCTTCGAGCCTCGCCCCCTCAAGGCCAAGAAGACCTACGCGGCCAGGCAACGGAAATCTCGGGGAAGGCGCTGCCTATTCGACCGTTGTTGTACCTTACATACAACTCTTTGTTCTTGATAAGATTCGCTGTTAAGCGTGTACGGAAACTAAGCCGTATAACCTTTGCATAAGAGCGTCGCGGGAAGGCAAAAGCAGGAAGCCAAGGCCGAACGACTAGCGTTTGCATTATATAACGCTGACGCAAGCCGTTCGGCTTCCTTATATAGCTGCCTATCTCTTCACGATCGGTGGATTATTGTGCTGATGCGTATCCCTTAAACAATGATTGTGAATCCGGTACTATGTTAGCATAAGTCCGACTTTCTTTTTCCAAGCAGCGACCGACGCAGCCGTGTTTAGTAAAAAAAAAGATTTGGCAGTGGGCTCGCCCGATTACTTTATCCACGGCGACGACGACGTTAAGGGAATGTAGTTTTTTAAAAACCCAATCGAGCAACATTGGCTGTCGACATTTCTCGAAATTGCGAGGGTACGAAATTGCAGAGCGTAAGCAGATTGGCGAAGGAAGCAAATCATACGTTTGGTTCTTAATTTCTATGCAAGGGGGCGCAACCTACCGCCCACTATATAAAGGGTAAAGCCGTTAGCAATTCATTCATCCATCAATCCTTTGGCAGGAAGCGTGCGATTGGACCTGGGTCCCCGCCAAACGCTGACGCAGCGCTCGTTGTGGATACGACCTGAGCCGAGGTCACGCAGAACGCGGTCTTTTCAACTGTTTGATGTTTCCCTTTTCTTACCTCAGGTCTCCAATATAATTCATTCTGGTTATTTCTTTATTTTTTTATTTTTTTGCCGACGACACGTTTTGTGTTTAATGCAATCTCAGAGTTGCAGTGCCCAAAACAATGACGGACTGGCAGCTACCAGGTGGCACGCACTTTGGAAAAATTGGCCTATTGTGACGATTTACGTGACAACGCAAAACTAGCGTTCTCAAATGAGCGACAGTGATCAATTTGTACGACCTTAATCTTAGAAAGCGGAAAATTAATTTCAAGAACGCGTCTATGAGAGAGTATAGACCTTTCCAGCGCTTATCAGCCGGGCGAAAAATGCCGAGTCCCTGAGCTGTGGACGCTTGCGCAGCGTCTGATACACGGCACAACAGAGCAACGGCGCATGCTCAGAAGACGTTCCACAGCTCAGCAGACAAAGGTGGCAGCACATAGAAGGCGATTTTTGGAAAGTTCTATAGCAGGGGTGGTCACAGGGACATGGGGTTAGAGCCGCAGACAAAACTACAAAAGTTCACACAGCCGCAGGAAAAAAAAGAAATAGGGGGAAGCTACTTTTCGCAAGAAACGGCATGGAGGGAACAGTCCTTTTCAAAGGGGATCAGTATAATTGTCGACTACAACATGTAACACCAGGTAGCAGAACGTTTCTCCAACCGCTAAGCAAAAATGAATGCATGGTTCGCTAGTAAGCCACTGCCCCTGAAGCCC